AAGGCGGCCGAGCCCGGCAGCGGCGCCGCCCGGGGCTCCGTGCGCAGCAGGTACCGCGCGGGCCGGGCGGGCGGGCGGGGGTGGCCGGGCGCGGGCGCAGCGTGCTGCGCCCTTCTAACGCGTGTCCCGCCTCTGCCCCGCAGGCTGCAGCAGGAGCTGATGACCCTGATGGTGAGTGGCGGCGCCCCGCCGGCCCGCGTGCCTCCGCGGCGCCAAGCCCTCCCTGTTGGCGGGCGCCAGGGGCGGCTGGACGGGCGCTGCGGGCGGGCCCTCCGCGTCTGCCGTGCCCTCCCCGTCTGCCGTGCCGATGGGCGCTCCGCGGGTCGCCCGCCGGAGGCCGAGCCACGGCCGACCCGGACCCGTGGGCGGGAGGGGCCGCCGGCGCTTGCCTCTCCCGTCGTGAGGGGCGCCGCTGCCCTCTCTCAAGCCCGGCTTCTCCGCAGATGTCGGGAGACAAGGGCGTCTCGGCCTTCCCGGAGTCGGACAACCTCTTCAAGTGGATCGGGACCATCCATGGCGCAGCCGGGACGGTGAGCCGCGCCGGAGGCCCCAGAGGGCCGCCGAGGGAGCCCTCGCCGTCCGTCCCGCCCAGCGGCCCCCCCGGCCTCCCGGAAGAGCTGCCCCGCGGGCGGGCGGGCGGGCACCGAGGGCGCGCAGCCTGCCCTCTTCCGGGGGGCCGCGGCTGCAGCGGCTCGACGGCGCGCGTCGCCGCTCGGTCCTGGCAGAAGCCCCGCGCCGCTCGGGCCAAGCCCGGCCGCCCCGCAAGCGTCGCCTGCGGCGGCCCGAACGCACCGGGAGGGGAGGGGAGGGGAGGGCTGGACGGAGCCGCTGCGGGGCCGGGCTTGGGGCGCCGGCCCGTGCTGACCTGCCTGCCCTCCCCCGCCAGGTGTACGAGGAGCTCCGGTACAAGCTCTCCCTGGAGTTCCCCAGCGGCTACCCCTACACGCCCCCCACTGTCAAGTTCCTCACGCCCTGCTTCCACCCCAACGTGGACCTGCAGGGCAACATCTGCCTGGACATCCTGAAGGACAAGTGGTCGGCCCTGCACGACGTCCGGACCATCCTGCTCTCCATCCAGAGCCTGCTGGGGGGTGAGTTGGGGGCTGCTGGCGCCGGTGCCTGGCCAGCCCTCTGCCCACGCTGGTCTCGCCATCCCGGAAGAGAACTGGCATAACGGATCGTGGGCACACCTTGAAGCTTGCCGGCTCCGCCCCGTGCCCAGTGGGCTCCCTCGGGTGCCTTCCTAGCGTTGCTTGGCCCTCCTGGCCCCCCTTGCCCCGAAAGCTCCTCCTCGGAGCGTTCCCACGTTCGTTTCCCAACACAGGTTACGTAAGAAATCCTTAAGGTGCTATAGCGCACTGAGAAAGGGGAAATTGGGCAGAAATCAGAGCGACGCGCTCTGATGGGATCCCCGCAGGGGCTCGTTGGGGTGCTGGCCAGCTTGCTAGCAAAGGTGGCCCAGACGGAACAACGGACAGGTGCATGCCCAGTTGGGAAGAGTCAGACTCGGGGTGCTCGGCAGGGCCCTTTCGCAAGGTGGGTAGAGGCAACAGGTGGGCTAGCGCAGGGCGCGGTCCTGGCCCAGAGCTCTTCCCCATCTGTACGAGTGACTTGGGCGAGGAAGTGCAGGAAACGCTTATCGGCGCTGCAGGTGACGCACAACTTGGTGAGACAGCAAGTGCCCTGGAGGCAGTCAGGGCGGCCTTGGCGGGTTGGGGGCTGGTCCGGGAACCGCAGAAGGCAGCGCAGTCGGGGCAAGTGCCAAGTCCCGCGTCTGGGAGAGAGAGGTCAGATGCTTCCATGCGAGGTGGGGACGCGTGGCTCCACGAGGCTGCGAGCGCGGAGCATCTCGGAACAGTTGTCGATCTCAAGCGGAACACGAGTCGGCCGTGTGACGGGGCTGCCGCGGGCAGGTGCTGCCGAGGGCCTCGCTTCTGGGTCCCGTGGAGTGCCGGCTCCCCTCCCTCAGCACTGTCTGGAGTCCCGTGCCTCGTTCTGGGTGCCCCGATGTGCAAACGACGCAGGGCTTCAGGTGGGCGGCAGAGTTCCCTGCCTCGCGTCAAGCCTCCACTGCGCCGTGTCTGATGGCTTTCTCCTCCCACCCCAGAGCCCAACGTGGAGAGTCCGCTGAACACGGATGCTGCGGAGCTGTGGAAGAACCCGGCAGGTGGGTGCCCCCCCCCACACTGGGAGGCGGAGCATGGTCGGGGGGGCCACGCTGAGGGGCAGGTGGTGAAGCGCAGCCCCGCGTCCAGGCGCCCCTCCCGAGCCGGTGGGCCAAAGTGGCCCATGAGGTGGGTTGGATGGGGCCGGGGACGTCCCGGTGCCAGGCCCCCTCGGCCAGGGACTCCCTGGGCGGCTCCGGGCCAGGCACGAACTCTCACTGGCGTCTTGCGACAATGAGGTGCAGAGGGGGTGGATTGTGTGTGTTGCTTCGGGCTTCTGGAGGAGAAGCAGGCGCCTGAAAAAATGTGCTAAAATTGCACCAGCGTTTGCTGACCCCTGGGCACTCGTCCCGTGCCCAGAACCTCCGCCCGAGCGAGTGGGAGGGCATGAGTGGCCAGGGACGGGGGCCGTGATCCTTGCAGCCCAGCAGCTGCCCTGCCGGTGCTCCCGGATGCGCGTGGCCGTTACCGCGTGGTCACTGAGCCCCAAGAAGGCCGGCTTCCTGGCCGTGCGCCCCTCGGGGCTTTGGCCAACCCACCCGCTCGGGGGCCAGGCGGCCGCCCATCCGGCGCCTGGCTGAGGCTGCGCTCATGCTTGGCTGGCCCCGGGCAGGGCAGGCTTCCTGCACTGGGCGCACGGGCTTGGCTGCCCCTGCCCAGCTGCTGGAGCTGTGTCTGTGCGCATCTCCCACAGCCTACAGGAAGTACCTCCACGAATCCTACGCGAGGCACATGAAGAGCCAGGACACCTGATGAGCCCCCTGCCCCGCCACGCCTCCCGCTGCGCCCTGGTGGTGCGTTCCCCCCCCCCCCCCCCCCCCCCCCCCGCGGCCCCCGGGGGGGGCGTCCCCCCCCCCCCCGGTGTGCGAGTGCTGCACTGTACGATAGCTGACTGTTAAATTTATTTGGTGTGTTGTCCCGACGCTTTGTCTATGAATAAACCTTTGCCTGTTTTTATAACTTCCTGCTCCTGTGTCATGAGAAGAGGGGCCCACTTTGGCCCGCCCGCCCTGGGAAGGTCACAGGGAGGCGCAGCCGGAAGAGGCTCCAGGGGCTCCTAAGGGGCAGCACGGTGGTGGTGGTGCTGCAGCCCGATGCGGACGGGGCCCTGCAGCAGGGCCGGGCGGAGCTCATTCGGGGGCGCCCGGCTTTGCACACGGAAGTGGGTCTCCCCTGCAGGCCGGGTGCAGAGGCTCCGAATTGGGGGCAGATGCTGCGAGCCCCAGACCCTCCCCTCCCCGCACACATCGGCCCGGCCCCTTTCCTCCGGCCCCACTGGAGTCGCTTCCCTGTCTTGCCCCCGGTTCTCCACCAACTGATCCAAAGGGGCGGCCCAGCTGAGTCCTCCCAGCACCTGAGAGTCCTCCCTCCTGCCCAGGCTTGGCCTCCCCCCCCCCCCCCCCCACCCCGTTCCCCCTCCCCCCAAGGTGGGGGGTCCCCGAGACCCCCCCCCCCCACACACTGGAGTCTTCGGCTGCTGATCGCCTGAGGCGAGCCTGCTTCCCGCTGCAGCCGTGGCCGAAGCCACCATCTCTGCTGGGAAAGTGCCCCGCCACGTGTGGATTGGGGCCCGGCGGCCTCTTCCCTCCAAGGCCCAGCCGTCCCCTTGCAGCTGAGGACCTCAGACAGGTCCGCCCCATGTCTGTTTTCCGTTTTTGTCCGCTGCCCCAGGATCAGCTCCCTCGCCCCGCAGCCCCCGGCCGAGAGGAGGGGCTGGCCGGGGCTGCCACACATGCCCTTGGGGGGACGGCTTCCTGCAAAGGCCCCGGGACAGCGAGCCGCTTGTGGCATCCTCCCCACCCTTGCCGCAGCCGCGGTGCAGGGCTGGCGGGCCCATGGCGCAGTTCGCCATGAGCCCCACCGCTGCAAACCCGCCTGCGGGATGGGATGAGCTGGCCGGCCCCGGGGCTCAGCTGCTCGGGATGCAGCGACTCGGCCTGCAGTGCCCCCTGCCCCCCCCACGCTCGTTTGCTTCCGGGACGGCTGCGTTGCAAGGGAGGGCCGGAGGGGAGCAGAAGGGACCGCCTGGCAGTTCCTGGCGCTGCTCCCTCCCCGGGCTCCCGCTCACTAGTGGGGGTCCTCTGGCTCCAGGGCCCCCCCAGGTCAGGGCCTCCACGGCGGATCCAGAAAGGTGCCTGTCGGGGGGGCTCCAGTCCCTTGCTCTTTATTGAAGCGCCAGCCAGTGTTACACGCAGGAGTTTGCACGCTCGGGGTGGTGAGGGTCTGCGGAGCTTAGCTGGAAGGAGTCTCTGAGCTGTGTGGCGCAAGCGGGACGGGAGTGGGGGGCGCGTGGCCAGGCCAGGCCAGGCACGGGGAGCTGGCGGCGGCGGCGGCTGCCCCGGCCTCACAGGAATGTTTCGGCGCTTTACTGCACTCCCTCCATCATCTTCAGGAACTCTGCAAGGAGGCGGACGCTGGGTTAGCCCAAAGCCGTGTGCCCCCGGCAATAGTTTTGGGAAGGGGGGGCCCTCTGTGGAGCCGAGGGGGGGCAGCCGCAGAGTGGATCGCTGCTCCCAGGCCCAGGCCCGCCCTTCCCGGCTGGCCAAGAGCGTGGGGGCCGGCTGGCGTGGGGCGCCCCTCCCGAGGGGCCTGCCTGAGCACGGGGGGCCTGGGGCTGCGGAGCCCTTGTGCGACGGGGGCACCAGCCCCCCCCCCCCGTGCTGCCCCACACGTGGCCTGGCTCCCACCCATGGAGGCGGCCGGCCACGCCACGCACCATCAAAGTCGATCCGGCCGTCGTTGTTTTTGTCTCCGTCCCGCATGAGCTCCTGGATCTCGTCCTCCGTGACGTTTTCGCCGGACACCCGGAAGATCTCGACCAGCTCATCGGCGTCCAGGTAGCCGTCGGCGTTCCTGTTCGGGAAGAGCGTCATCATGGACGGGGCACTGCTGCTTCCCTGCCCCGAGCGTGCCCTTCTCGGCGCAGCTCCCGGCCACGGAGGGAGCGGAAGCCTGGGCAGGGACGCCTCGGGTCCGATCCAGCACAGGCTGCTTCCAGAATCACGGAACAATGGAGCTGCAGGACCCGGGGGGCCACCAGGTCGGAGCCCCTGCCGAGGCAGGACTCCTGTCCGGCTCTCCTGAAAGCCTCAGGGCGGGAGATCCACCACCCGCCTGGGTCACGGGCTCCGTTGCCGCACGGCTCTAACACTTGGGGCGTTTTTCCCGGCATCTCCCCGGAATCTGCTTCCTGCGTGCTCTCGCGTCTCCCTCAGACCTCCCGCCCTGAGGCGGAACAGGCCCAGTTCCTTCCACCTGTCCTCACAAGGCCCCGCATCATCCTGCCGCCCCCCCCCCCGCACCCTTTCCCGAGGGTCCCGGCTGACCCCTTCCACTGTTCTCTTAGGCACTCAGAGGACAATGAGGGACAGGGGTCCCTGATGGCAGCCTGCAGCCAGACCCCATTTTTAAGGTTCCGGCTGAATCCTGCCCACGTTCACCCTGGGCTTTGCTGCAGCCACTGAGCCCAGCGGGGCTCCAGTTCAGCGGCTGTGCGCATGCCTTGCCCAGGTGGCTGTGGGGCAGCTCCCGAGGGGGAGGCCGGGCCGGGCCGGGGCTGGGCAGACCTTGGACTCCTTCCTCCGTGGATCCTCGGTCACCCAACTGGGCCGAAGGGCCAGGGGAGGGAGGCGGCCACAGGGGCGGCACGCAGGTGAGGCTTGCAGCCCCGGGCACGGCCAGGCTGCCCCCCGGGATGCCCCCGGGATGCCCCGCTGTGCAGGCTGCCGAGCTGAGCCGAGCGGAGAGCCGAGCCCCGTCGGCCTCTGGGGAGAAGGCGCTGCCGGCCCGTGCGGGAGTGCCCGGCGCCACGTGGGTCGCAGCCCTCTGAGCTGGGAAGGGGGATTGTGTGGGCGGGCGAGCAGATGGGCTCCTCGGTCCCATCCCAGCCTCCGCAGGCAGCTGCTCCCCTGGGCAGCTCTCCTGGGCAACGGGGCTGAGGGAGCCCCAGGCCTCTCGGCAATCTTCTGTCCTGGCAGCCCCGGCGGGAGGCTGGAGGCTGGAGGCCTTGTGGCATCACAGGCGGGGAGCCCAGCTGGCCTCGTGGCCGCCAGGCCACTCCCGCCGCCAGCCCTCCCCACCGGGCCGGCCAGCGTGGTGGAGGGAGCACCGGCGAGGCGAGGCGACGGCCGCGCAAGCCCTCTGCGTCTCCCTTCAGCCGCTCCGGCGGGCTGGGGGCCGGGGGCGGCTGCCGGGCGCGACCCACCTGTCAAAGATGCGGAAGCACTCGGCCAGCTCCTCCTCAGTCTTGCCCTTGGCGTCCTCTTTCATCTGGCGCACCATCATGACCAGGAACTCCTCGAAGTCGATGGTTCCGCTGCCTGGGGGGAGACACCGGGTTCGGAGCGGCCCTCTCAGCGGCCGGCCAGCCGCCCCCGCCCCCGGCGCCCCCACTCACCGTCCTCGTCCACCTCCTCGATGATGGCGTCCAGCTCCTCCTTGGTGGGCGTCTGGCCCAGCATCCGCATGACGGTGCCCAGCTCCTTGGTGCTGATGTCGCCGCCCCCGTCCGCGTCGAACATGTCGAAGGCGGCCTTGAACTCTGCGGGAGGTGCGGGCGGCGTTAGCCGGGGGGGGCGGCCCCGGGCTCTCGCCATCCTCCGGGGCTAGGCAGGGGGGTTGGGGGGCGCCCCGGGGCCGCTCCAGCAAGCCCTCGGCCCAGGCACGCGATCTCCCGCAGGGTCCCCGGCATGCCACGCGCTGCCCCTGGCCAGCCGCGGGAGAGCAAGGCGTCCTCGCAGGGCAAGGGGCGCGTGGGGAGAGGCCGCCCGGCGATGCGTCGCGAGGCACTCACCTGCGATCATCTCCTCACTGAGGTAGGACCGGGCCTCGGCCTGCTGGTCCGTCTGCAGAGCAAGCAAAGGAAGTCACCAGGGGCCCCGCAGAGGCCCGGCGGGGGCCACGGCCAGGAGCGGCCTCGTGTGCCCCTCCTGCTCTTCCTGGCCGCCTCTCAGGCCCGAGGCCCTGCCTCCCCTCTGGGAGACGCCTCGCCCTTCCCATGCACCTGGGTGGGCCACTTGCACCCCAAGGGAGCGGGGCCGGGCCCTCAGGGCCAGGCAGCTCCCAGCCATGGGGCAGTCGATTCAGGAGGGGCGGGAGGCCGTCGAGCCCCACTCCCTGCCCCGTGCAGCACTGCCTGCTAAGGCATCCCTGACAGGCAGCTGTCCAGCGCCCTTCGAAGGCCCCCAGGCTGGGAGAGCCCACCGCCTCCCTAGGGCTTGGGTCCCGTTGTCCCGCTGCTCTGACAGTCCCGGAGCCCTTCCTGATGCCCGGCCAGAGCCCGGCTCCCTGTGGACCGAGCCCGATGCTCTGGAATGGCCAGGAAGGGGCCCTGCCCCTCCTCTCCGTGGCAACCCTCCACGTCCTGGCAGGGGGCGCCCTGCCTCCCCGCAGTCTTCCCTTCTTGAGGCCAAACGTGGCCCGCTCTCTCAGGCCCCACTGTTTGCTTCCAGGCCCCGGGTCACAGTCCCCTTCCTGCCCTCCCGGGAACCCTCCCCAGCCGGTCTGCATCTTTCTTGAAGTGTGGTGCCCAGAACGGGCCATGACACTCCAGATGAGGCCTAGCTAATGTTGACTAGAGAGGGGAACCTGCACCTCGCCTGTTTGGAAATGATAGTTCTATTCACAGAATCCTAGAAGAGTAGAGCTGGCAGGGGCCATGAGGGCCATCAGGTCCAGCCCCCTGCGGCTGCAGGCCTCCACGTGACCCCGTGGCGCATTGATGCCGCCCAGCAGAGGGCCGACTCTGTTGCACCTCATCGCTTCCTCGGCTCGTGCTCGGCAACGCCAAGATGCTTCTCACTTGCGGTGCCGTTGAGCCAAGACTCCCCCCCTTGTAAAGATGCAATCGGGGGGTTTTCCTAGGTGCGCAGCTGGCCCTTGTCCCAACTGAATTGCATTCTGTTGCTTTGAAGGTCGAGGCCCCATCGGTTCAAGGATAGGCTGGACACGCACATGGTGGGCGTGTCGTGAGCAGAGCCGGCTGGAGCCGGGGGGTCAGACTAGATGGCCCGGGAGACCCCTTCTGCCTCGCTCTGTTTCTGTATTTCCAGCCCAGTGCTCCAACCCATCAAGGCCACCTTGAATCTTCTCTCTCTCTTCCAGGGCATTAGCTACCCTGCCCAGCTTCCTGCCATGTGCAGATCTGATCACTGTTCCTGCCCCTCCTCATCCAGGTCACTAATGAGAATGCGGAAGAGCTCCGGGCCAGGCCTGGACCCTGCGGGACCCCCCCTCGCTGCCTCGCCCCGGTCTGAGGAGGTGCCGTTGAGGAGCCCTCCCTGCGCCCAGGTCTGCGGCCAGCGGAGGCTCCACTGGAGGGCTGCTCCACTGCGCCCTCCTGCTCGTCTGCTGACCGGAGCACCGGTTCCGGCCTCACAGGGACTCCTGGGCGCACTCTCCTGGGACCCGGGTCAGCGCCACGGGCTGAGGGAATGTGACTGGTGCTAAAGCATGGGGCCGGGCATGGGGGCACCCAAGCCAGCCCCCCCTCCAGAAAGGGGGCTGTTGCCCCATGACGCCCATCTGGGCTCTTGGGGGCGGGAAGGCAGGAAGCACCCGTGGCTCCCGGGACTGCCCCGGGGCACAGGAGGCCCGTCCCCCCTGCGGGGGCCTTCCTTCCCCAGATGCTAGGCTGTGGCTGGGGGTCCTTGGGACGAGCTATTCTTAGCTGCATCCGCCTCAGCCCTCCTTCTAGGGGGAGCAGCAGGATGGCCGCCAGCTGCCCGGCACCTGTCGGCTGCCCGATTGGGTTACTCCTTCAGGCGGGTCGTGGAGCTTGGCGGCCAGCAGGCATCCCGGCCAATTCTTGTGACCGCCGTCTTGGCTTTCTCCGCAGGCGGCTCCTCCGTGTCCTTGGCTGGGCTCCAGGTCAGCTCCGATCCCCGGCAGAGATCCCCCCCCGCCAGGCAGACGGAGGACAATCGCGCCGACCCCGCGAAGCCCCGCGGTTTCTCCCAAACGCTGCCTCCCATGCCCAGCAGACCGCCCGTCTGCACCGCCTCCCTGCTCGAAAGCCGCCCTGGAGCCCCCCGCCTGGGCCCGCCTCCCCAGCCCCCAGCCCCCTCTCAAGCCAGCGGCCTCGGCCAGGGGGTCAGCCGGCCCACTGGCCCCACACAGAGCCGCTCCTGCGGAGCAGTGCTTGTGTCCTGGCAGCTCTCCACGTCTGTGCTGGCCCTGGGCCCCGGTGCCGGCCAGTCCCGTTGGACGCGCGACCAACCAGTCCATCTCGCCATCCGTGCACATCCCGTGGTCCAGCCGGCGTGGCATCCTGGGAGGAGGTCCAGCTCCAACCATCCTGGGCGCCGCCTTCAAAGTGGGCCTTCGTGCCCGTGGTCTTACCATGCTTACCATGTTGGCAGGCAACACCCCACAGCAACCCACAGAGAAAGCACCACCACGTCCCTCTCCACTCCAAGCGCCGGCAGAAGCTCCCCCACCTCCCGGGCCCCCCAATTTGTACCCTGCCCCTTGGCCGGCCCCTGCCCAGAAGGGGCCCCGGGGGCGGCGGCTCTTGCGGCAGCCAATCGCCTTGCTCCTCGCCTGCCCATTGGCAGGAAGGATGTTTTTCCTAATTTAGGCAGGCCTCTCCTGGCCGCATCCTGCCGCAGCAGCAGCACAGCTGAGCAGCAGGACCCAGGCAGCAGGGAGGCATCCGACCCCCCCCGCCGGAGAACGGCAAGGAGCTGGCTGCAGGCTGCATGTGGAGACGTGGCCTGCCATGCAGCCCTGCCACGGGCAGCAGAGGGTTAAAGTGCTCCCACAGTGAGGAGCGGGCCGGGCTGCCAAGGACACCTGCCCTCACAGCCTGCCCCCTTGAGGAAGGGGCTCCGGGGGCTCCTCTGCCCACTGGGCTGGGCCTGCAGGCATCCCCGGAGCTGAGCTGTCTGCGCAGCCCTGAGCCCCCACAGCTTGGCTGGGCGTGGGGGCCGCTCTGTCCCTGGAGCAGCTCTGCAGCTCCAGCAGCCCCCCTGAGCCCCCCTGCGCTCGCCTGTTTGCTCGGGGCCCGGTTGCCACACGGCCTGGGGCAGTGAGAGGAGGCCCCAGGGAGGCCACCCCCGCCCCCGAGGGACACTGGCCGGCCGGCTGCAGAGCAGGGGAGGAGGGGCCCGCGGGGCCCGGGGCCGGGGGGCCTGGAGCAGCAGCGCCTGCCTGGGGAGGGGGCTGAGGCACGACGTGCACCGCCGGAGCCTTGGCCCCGGGGGGGTTTAGCCCCAGCCCGGCCTAGGAAGGAGGCCCGGGGGGGTGAGGGACTGAAAGGGGCCCTGCTGGGGGCCACACGAGCGCCTGAGGGCTCACGGACCCCGCGAGCTGGAAGGACGCCCCAACAGGCAGGCGCAGGTGGTCGCCCTTCCCTCCTCCCCCTATTAATAGACATTCCTAAGGAAAGCTCCGGAGAGGCAGCAGGGCGGCTGGCTAAATAAGGCAGAGACTGGGCCGGTCGGGAGCGAGGGGGTCTTGGGAGGCACTCTGGCTGGGGGGCTGCACGCAGGGCGGGGGCCGCTCGCATTCTGGGATGCCGACAAAGGTCTCCGCGGAGGCCAGCCTGCATCCCTTCCCAAGGGGACCGATGGCGGAGCCACGGCAGTCGATTCCCACCGCAGGCGGCCTCGGCTGTGCTTCCCCGGTGCGGCTTGGGGAGGTGGACACGCTCTGGGGCAGCCGCACAGCCCTGCTCACCTGGGTCCCGCACCCCTCTTGGCCAGTGGAAGCCGGTGGGCCAGAAAGGCGAGCGACCTCTCTATGGGGTGGGGTGGAGGGGCTGCGCTGGAAGCGGCCCCTTGAGCCCAGACAGCTTCACCCGGGCACCTTTCTGGACAAGGACCTGGAGCCACGGGGCAACTGGCTCCAGGCACTCAAGGGCAGGCCTGATTGCCTGGACCCTCGAGCACAGAGGCAGCCTTGGTCGCCCGGGAGGATGGCCAGGGCGGGAGAGGCTTGGGCGGGGGGGGGGCACTGAGCGCTTCTGCCCCTTAGCCACAGTGCCCCCCGGAGCTGCACCGTGAGTTGGGAGGGGCGGCACCGCGGGGCGCTGCTCCGGCTCCCCGAGTGAGAAGTGAACAGGGGTGCGGCTGCCCGAGGCGCAGCCATGGACCCCCTGGGCAGGCGGCCCGAACGAGCAGCGCCACCCCGGCTCTCCATCGGCGCGCCCCTCCGGGCCAAGAGCGAGGTGGACCAGCGGTGCCCGCCCGGAGAGGCCTCGCTGGCGGCATCGGGGGCCTCCTGGGCGGCCCGCCGTGGAACGAGCTCCCAGCCGAGACCGCCCTGGCCGCCCTCCCGCGGAGGCATGCAGCAGCCCCGAGAGTCCCGGCCGGGATGCGGCTGCGCCTACGCCGAGCTCCGGCGGGGGCGGGGGGGGGGGGGGAGGGGGGGGGCTGCGGGCCAGCTCCAGCTGGATACAAACTGGATTGAAAAACGAAAGGGTTTTAAATTTAGAAAGCGTAGAAGAGCCACGAAATTTATACACTTGATGGCAGTCGCTTGTTTGTTTCCAGGGGCCCGTTTCGCACACGCCGACTGGCTTCATGCAGCATTTCATTGCTTCATGCACTGCTCACCCCACCCAGGGGCCCCGGACGGTCCGACAGTCCAGCAAGACGCAGCCTGCGCCCAGGCAACCCCGGATGGCCGGCAGCGCTTTTCTGGCCACGGTTTGCCTGCAGGTCCGACCTGGGCTGAGACAGAGACTGGTCCAAACTCGCATCAGAGTTTGCACAGAAACTCTGCCACCTGGCAGGACGATCCTTGCCCACTCCCATCCTGGGTGATTGGGCGGACGGTTAAAATCGAAAAGTTAGCTGCACGTGGTGTGATGCACCATTTCCCATGTCCCCTGGCTAGCCCCAGAAGTGCCTGAACTCAGCGGCAGAACACAGGCTTCCCATGAAAAGGCGCCAGCCTGCGGCCTCTCCGCCATGTGGCTGGGAGAGGAGCCCCCTCGGGCCCGGGGAGCTGCGGCCGCTCGGGTGGGGCACCTCTGGGTGAGGAGGACGAGGGTCTGCTGTGGGGGAGGCGGCTTCCCCAGCCGGCCTTGGCAACGGCTTCCAGAGCGGACTCCAGGTCGGCCCGGGGCTTCTGCCAGGCCAACGTAAATGGAAGGGGGTTCGTGTTACGTTTGCTTGTTGACAAACGTGGGCAGAGGCTCCTCGAGGCAGACCAGAGGTCACCCCGCAGCAGCCTCATGGGGGGGGCTCCTTGCCGCAGTGACTCGACCCGGCCCCCTCGGGCAGCGGCAGCCTCCAAGTGGCCGCTCGGGGGCCTTCCTCGGTGCCCGGGCACATGGGCCGGGCCGCTGCTGGGAGCGAAGCTGGGCTGGGCGGCCCGATTCGGCAGGGCTCTGTGGTGGACAGGTGCCTCAGCGCCAGCCTCTCTGCAGCCCCGTCGTGCTGCAGGCCGCCCACCCGACCCTCGCGGTGCACGGGCGCGACGCCCACACTCGCTGCGCAGGCCCAAGCGCACAGCGGCACTCTCCCAGCACGCGTGAGCGACGTGGGGGCAGAGGGCACTTCTGGAGATGCCCCCTCACACTTCAGGGGCCATGGGTCAATGCACGGAGGACGTGGGTCAAAACCAGCCCCTCCGGGCCGGCAAGGGCACACAAGACAGCACCGCAAGGAGCGGCCTTTGCTCGCCCCGATCATGTCTCTGCGTCGCGTTTTGAGGGTGGGGCTGAAACCATTCAGCTCCTTAAGGCAAATAAAGGTTCTAAAGCCCCCCAACAGCAGAAGGGGCAAAGTCAGCCAGGGGCGAAGTCGGCCAAAGCCTCGGGTGCTGCACTTCCGTCTGCCCGAACTCCCGGGACGACTCACGGCAAAGGAGGGCGGCAAGGTTCTTTGCACCTGAAATACGAACACGTGGATCAGGGCTGCAGCTCTCCTGTGCCGGAGGCCACTGGATGAGGTGCGTGAGCAAAAAGCAGATGAAAACGACACAGCAGGAACACAGGAAATAGCTTGGAGCAATCCAGGTAATGAAATCCATGAAAACCATCTGCTTTCCCAGAAGGCCCGGACACCTGCTGGGGCCTCAGGGCCACAAGCGTCGTAGTCGGGGATCCATCGCGGGAGGCAGGTGCTTCCAGGCCAGGGTGCCATGACAGAGCGGGCTCTGCTCCCAGGCCCCACCTGCCTCCCTGGAGTCTGGGGACGTGGTGGAGTGGAGCAGGGCCTTTGACAAGGGTCCAAGTGACAGGGCGGGACAGGCTCACGCAGGAGACGGTGCCCCTCGGCCGCCGGCAGGGGACGCCCTGGCCCGGAAGCAGACTGGCAGCCAATGCAGCCGCCTGCAGGCTGGCCAGACACGTGCCCCCGGCTGCCCAATGGGTCCCGCATTGCGACTTTGGCCCCACGTCGTCTTTCCCTGGAGGGGACCAGAGCACAGCCCCCTCCACACAGAAGGGGGGGCGGCTGGGGGAAGATGCCCCGTGCCGCAGGCCTGGGCCCCAGGGCCAAAGCGAGACCAGCTGCAATGCGCACGCTGCTCCTTCCGGGGGGCTGCACCTCGGCCCAGGACAAGTTGAGCGCTGCGGCTCAGACCAGCCTTCAGGAGACCCCAGGCAAGCCACGCTGCCATGAAGGAACAGGGCGCACGGACCAGGGGCTGGCTAGTCCACCCTGGGACTCTGGCGCCACTGTGCCAGCAACGGGTCAGGGGCACGCTGCACAGAGGCTGCCTTTGCCCCGATCTTTAGGGTGGGACGGGCTGCAGCCAGCAGCAAGTGAGCACAGGCAACAACGGGGCCGTAACAACCCGAGGAGGCGGGGAGCACGGCTTCCAGGGGCCACTAGCCCTGCTGGCCATGGGCTACTGTTGGGAAAATGTGGCTAAGTCCTGTCTGGAAAGCATTACTTCTGTGTGCTTTTTGCATTGTGGGATCAAATCCTGCCTTCCTTCTCAAAACCAAGCTGTCACTGTTGAAAATGGCCTTCATTTCCCTCTCCTTTCTCTCACCTTTAGCTGTGGGCTACAGCAGACGGGCCATTTTAGCCCAAACATACATTGTAAATAGTCATTGTTGGAATTCAGTTTACAATACTCTTTTGATAGCCCAGAAGGCTTCATGTGCCCTGATCATGCGGAATGTTTAGAGTCTGAGCTTATCATGAATAGTTTCTAGTAGCTTGAATTTGCATGTCTGAGCAGACCTGGAGACGGGTTCAAGCTACTGAACTAAAGTGTCAATACAGGCAATTAGGAATATTGTAATCTCATTGTTACAGTGTGATTGACATTTCTTTATCTGTTCTGTATGTGAGGACCTCAGAATCTTATTGTAATGTCTGCATTCTGTCAGCAATTGCCCTGTACCTGCGTACCTATAAAATACCCTGCAATGTGTTGAAGCTTGGCAGCAAGTTTATCTCTGCTAGCCCAGTAATGCATTATCATGAGTCAACTGCGGGGACCTGGGATAGA